TTGGAGGACGCTAACAGCACGTAGAAACTTTTCGACATGATCAACAGCCGCTTCTTGCGATCTAGCTACGTCCTAGCCGGACGCAAGAAGCTTAAAAACCGTGCGTCTAAAACGTAGTTAGGGCCTAGGCTTTACGCAATTTCGAGTTCGCAGACAGTCCGTAAGCACGTACGGAAGATGAGATTCTACGAATAGCCTGCGAACAGCGAGGCCGTAAGCGTAACTTGCTCCCCTCGCACGGAGTTAGCAAGAGAGACGCGCGTTTTGCAAGACACACGTCGCAAGCAATGAAGAAGCAAGTGCTCTTTGCGTGTTGAGTTAGGCGCACGCCGTCACAACTCACGAACAAAGTCAAGAGCACACCGGGAATGCGTTGCACGTGCGTCACCCCCACGCCTGGTGTATAGAAGGCGTGCTCACAACGCACGCTCGTGTCTTTACAATGAATTTCGACTGTGTAACGTGTACAACAATTTTCAATTTTTTTTAATTTTTGCTCAACTTAGTTTCTAATATGCCTCCAAAAGGCAAGAGAAAGAAGCTTACATAGTAGAAAAAAGGGAGGAGGAAGAAGAAAGAAGAGGAGAACAGGAAGCAAAACTGACGTACACCGTCAGTACGTCACCACAAACGTGTGAGTCAAGTGTGAAGCAAAACTGACGCAAAAGGGCACTACTTTCGCCTTGTGTTGCATTCCCTTGTTAAGTGGTGAGTGTGTGTCACGTACACAGGAAGTAAGACAAACTCAACAAATGAGTACAATTTCCACGGCCATCGCCATCGCAATTAGCGTCCCTGCTTGAAAGGACATCTCATGTGGCCCTTGCGACTCGCAAGGCAGACTTTCCTCTACCTCTACGACCTCCACGGCCTCCGCAACACCCAAAAATCGCAGGTGATGTACGATCTTGAAATTCGTGCGTCCGGTTGTGACCAAGGCTTAAGACATACCCATGCAAAATTGGACGTAGGAAGCAGGCGGGGCCCGAAAACCTGAAAAAATGTATCCATCATATGAAGTATTTCTCACTGGTGGTGGAAATATATTTACATCTACACAGTAAACCTAAATCAGAATGGCACTATAGAACCACATACGACCAAAGAAAACTAAAGTGTGTTGTTATTAAAATTTCATTTAAAGATTTGAGAACATTTGCGATGTTCGTATTATAACTTATTTAACAAAGTTTAGTGTTATAAACATCATCAATTTTTTTGTAAAAAAGAGAGCCGATGGAACTTACGAAAAGGGTGGGTTACAGCTCTCCTTGCACCCGCCTTCACATGCACAACCAAAAATATTGCAACCCCCTTTGCCACAATGAGACCAAGTCTGAAGTAAATGGAAACTTTTGGTATTTTCGCCCTTTTTATTCTTATTTTATTATTATTATTATTTATTTTTATTATTTTTTTTTTTGTACAATTCATATTCACGGCAACATTTGATCGCCTTTTATTTAACACAAAAAAATGCGTAAGATTACTTTCAGGTTACAAATAAACCTTACCTGGCTGCAGTCCAAACAATAACCATATGTCCTGCGGCAGCATTCTGCCTTGGTGTCTTCAATTAACAAAGCAACCAAGCAGACTGTAGCAACAAAGACTACAAATACGACAGTCATTTTCTTCGCCTTTGATAAGAAACAAAACAAAACGTACCATGTAACCAGCTTAACCAACTCCACACCGTGTGCTATTCATCACGATTGTTACTATTAAGGTAACTCGTAGAAAAAGACAAAGCAGCTGCAGTAAACTTCCTTTTTACATAAAATAACATAAATACGTACGTTCTGAAATCCATTGTACCTCTACATTAGAACTTAGTCATCGGTTAGTTTAGATAGATTTGCCTCACCATAATTCCTTGAAAACTTGTATTTTGCGGAATTAAATAGGGTAAGTCAGCTAAATGCAACGATGAACTGTTCTCGATGGCCAATGGATAGATATTGTATCATACTATATATAACTGTATGGAAGTACCATCATATTATGATGACATCACTGTTCATCACAACACAACTGTCACTATAGTTTCGATATATTTTCAAAACAATTTGTTGATAGCTTATGACGATGACGGCATCAGGAATATATCAGTTGCTTTTTATTCTATTATGCATCGCCTTTGTTACACTATTAAAGGGACAAAAAATAGGATTAAAAACGCCTTTTTAGTGCATGGATTGCTTCTTTTTTAACTTATCTGAGAACAATTGCTATGGGGAAAGCATAAAATGGCAGGTAAATGGCCTTAATCAATATCGAAAAAAAGAATCATATTCACCGTCCACTTTCGAACCCCGGGCGTCAGCCATCTTGACACAGTTTGAAATAACGCGGCTTCTCGACTCAGATACGAGATGTAAACAATGCAGACAGCATGTCGTTTCGAAGGTGAGCGTGGACGTGAAGGAGAAGAGGCATTGCTCACCGAATCTTTGCAGGTAAGCGAGTTATATTTACCAAAAATACTTTAAAATGGGAAGATGGCAGTGGAAATCAAAATGTCTGGCAGAGGAAGTTAAAAAGCGTAGATAACTGCTAATAATTAACGTTTCCTCGGGTAACGCACTCGCAGCCAAATCACTCGCACTGGATACGTACTACTAGTTATATGAAGCGAGATAGTGCACTTTACCCCTGAGGTGTATAGTTCTGTAAAGCAGGAGGAATACCCTTTTCTGCTCAATGTGGTCATCTACCAGTACTTACAGACTAACCTCACACCATATTCTCGCAGGGGAATCCCATGAGATATACAATGTAACTCGAGTACTAGTGGGGTTAGAGGGTGTTCTTTGTACGGCACGTAACTACGTTAGCTTATTTGTAAATTTAATAATATTGTCAATGAATATGATTATAAGGAATGATTTTTTAGCCTTTCAGAGGAGGAATTGGGTGATACACCCCTTCAAGCACGAGTGAAGAGATCAGGTATGTTAATAATTTTAGCAGTATAACATGGGCGGATCCAGGATTATTTGAAAGGG